TACTACTAAAATAGGGCACAAAATACTTTAGTTAATATACCCTACATTCTGTTTATAAATTTAAAACGTTTTTACTGACACCGTCTGGTATTGGGGTCAGTAGCAAAAAGCGCGCTTTATAATAAGATTTAGGGATCACTTACTACCCATACTTCTTAACTACACTTGGCTCACTCTGCCCATGATTTTTCAACAAATATAATATTTATGTTGTTTTTATAGTTACACAAAAGTGCTTGGCCATTTATGGAACCGGTTGATCCGAAGGAAGCACCTGACTATTACAAAGTAATTAAAGAGCCCATGGGTAAGCTAAGCATAATAAATAAAATGTCAAATTTAAAATAATGTCATCCTTAACAGATCTCAAACGAATGGAAACCAAAATCGAATCAAACGCATACACTAAACTAGCCGAGTTTATAGGCGATATGACAAAAATCTTTGACAACTGCCGTTACTATAACCCGAAGGAATCTTCTTTTTATAAGTGTGCTGAGGCGCTAGAGTCATACTTTGTTCAAAAAATTAAAAATTTTCGCTAAAATGATTTTGGTCAAATCAGATAAGAAATCATTAAAAGAAGAAAAATAATATTGTAGTTTGTATATGATTCATATAATAACTTGAATAACGATTTCACAAATGTAGTTTTATTTTGAAATCCAATGTAACAGTTACATTCATTATTAGTTCAGATGCACGTGTATATTTTACAATAAGATCAATGTACATATTAACCATATAAACTTAAACGATTATTATATGAGTTGTAAAATAAAAAATATTTAAATAAATATTTTGTCCTTTACCAGATAACTTTAAAGTGAAAAGTAGGCTAATTACCATAAGACTTTTGTACAAAAAATTAAAATGTAAATAAACCCCTTTTTGCATTTGTTTTGAATAAATTTAAATTATATATCGTAATTTGATCTGACAGCTTAATAAATTAAAAGTAAAAAGCAAGCAAACTTTGGCAAACCGAAGCCTATATACCCTTACAGCTATAATAATAATGTAATCCAATTCAATCGAGAACTATAATGGATTGGCACTCACAAAAATAATATAAATGTTTTCTTTAAAAGAGAAATGTTCTTTAAAAATAAATATATTTTCTAAAATATGGAAATGTTTTCTATAATATAGATATTTAAATGTTTGTACCCTGACCCTAAAATAACTATTGACCCTTAAAATTAGAAACATTTCCTAAGAACTAAAAATTTTTCTTATAAAAAATAGAAAGGTTTAAATTGTGTTCTCTGATTTATGTTATTGCTTGCTTGGTCGAAACGAGAGATTCAATCTCGTGGCCTTGGGGTTAAGTCGTATAACCAGAAGTCTAAGTTTCGCAAATAAAAAACGCACTGCCGAGATAAACATATTTTTAAAATTTTTTTTGTACATTTATGATTTTTGGCGTAAAACTCAGTTTGGAGAAACAAAACAAACTAATGTTTTGAAATATGAAAATTATTTAAATATTTTTTGCATCATATGAAATATAATAACCATTAAGGAAATTGGTGTCTAATATCTTGACTGTCTTTTGCTTTGCCAAGCCTTTACACGCATCCATGGCGCAGTACAAAGTCGTCCAGCTTTCGATCTTCCTTTCCGTTCCTTCCGTTCTTACCGAGGAACACAAAGAAATGTAATTATTTTTATAACCTAGAGGGTATTTTAATTTCATTCAGAAGTTTGCAACGCAGTGAAGGAGACATTTTCAACCCTGTTAAATATGTAGACTCCTGATCAGCATCACTAGAAAATTCGATCTAGCAATGTCCGTCTGTCCGTCCGTTTTTACGCAAACTATTCTCTCAGTTTTAAAGCTAACTGCATTAAACTTTCACGAAGTAGTCTTTTTTTTTGGTTGCAAATAGAATATAAAGGACCTGCCCCCTCAAAATAGTAATAATATACTGCAAAAATAGTTTGGTTACCTCCTCACAAAAACAATTTTCAACAAAAATCGTTTTGCCACCGGCTCACCTCTTAAAAATAATTTATTTTTAAACATTTTTTCGTTGATTTTTGCAAATATGTGTGCCTTCTTCTTCACACAATTATTCACTTCCGGAAGAAAAAATCGGATCTCCCAAACTCCTTGTTGCTTTGAAATGCATTACCATTTTATTGCAATATCGCTGATATTTAAATTCTCTTTTCTTTATTAAAGACAATTATATATATAAAAAATTGTAGTAAATTAAACTTTCAGAAAACATTATGTATGTCTTTTTCGCACAAAAAAGTTTTGTCTAAAAAATACGGAATATTACCCACAGAAAAATTACTTACTTTAACGGATACCTCATAATAATATTAATTTTCAATAAAATTCGTTTAAGCAACGTCAACTTTTAAAAACTTTTTTTTTCAATAATTATTTTTTCTTTAGCAAAAGTATCAGCAAAAAAGCACCTAAAATCACTAGCATATATCACTCATTCATTGGAATAAAAGATTGAGAGAGTGATTTTTTTTTGCGTTTGCTATGATTGTTGGCTGACAGGTCAAGTTTCCGGCATCGCAATCATCTCTGCCAACGCCGCAGTCGGGATACTATCAAATTCTGATAGTTTTGAGCTGGGGTGCTTAAATTGCCTTATAGCAGTGCATTTACCAACACACAAAAAGATCATGAACACATTTAACGAAGTCAGTGTAGAGCCAAGGAAAAGACAAAAACAAATTTCATTTGATTCAGTCATAAAAAGTAACGAATTGGACCGCAATGATAAAAGGAAAAATTGTAAGTGTAAAGCAAATTGTGCCCAGCAAACTTAAGCATTGTGACGGCCCTCATATGTCCATAAGCATGTGCATTTATAAAAACAATTGTGCTCCATGTGCATAGGCGTGAGCACACCTGATTTTTGGCAGTGATGAGTTTCTAAAGCCAAACCAATCATTGGCGACGGCGGCGGCGTCGGCGCCGCTGTTCTTGTATTCCAATTGTTTGCATTTGCGTCTTTTTTTTGGTTCGTCTTTTTCTTTTCTTTTCTTGCATTCTTGGAACCTTCAGTTTTTCGGAAATATGCGAAGCGTAGTTGTTCTTTTTTTTTTTTGTGAATTTAAAATACACAAAAGACAAGCCAAACAAAAATTGGCTAGCCGCAGCAAGCGTCGGCGACGGCGCCTCACTAACGACAGCATTAGAAGCTACAGCTTTTACAACAAAATTTATTGTGCCGTCGGTTTTTCGGAAATGATACAAAGAAAAATTGTAAGTGTAACGCAAATTGTACCCAGCAGGCTTTAACATTGTGACGGCCCTCACATCTCCATAAGCATGTGCATTTACAAAAACAATTGTGGTCCATGTGCACAGGCGTGAGCACACCTGATTTTTAACAGTGATGAGTTTCAATAGCCAAACCAATCATTGGCGACGGCGGCGGCGTCGGCGCCGCTGTTCTTGTATTCCAATTGCTTGCATTTGCGTCTTTTTTTTGGTTCGTCTTTTTCTTTTCTTTTCTTGCATTCTTGGAACCTTCCGTTTTTAGGAAATATGCGAAGCCTAGTTGTTCTTTTTTTTTTGTGAATTTAAAATACACAAAAGACAAGCCAAACAAAAATTGGCTAGCCGCAGCAAGCGTCGGCGACGGCGCCTCACTAACGACAGCATTAGAAGCTACAGCTTTTACAACAAAATTTATTGTGCCGTCGGTTTTTCGGAAATGATGCAAAGAAAAATTGTAAGTGTAACGCAAATTGTACCCAGCAGGCTTTAACATTGTGACGGCCCTCACATCTCCATAAGCATGTGCATTTACAAAAACAATTGTGGTCCATGTGCACAGGCGTGAGCACACCTGATTTTTAACAGTGATGAGTTTCAATAGCCAAACCAATCATTGGCGACGGCGGCGGCGTCGGCGCCGCTGTTCTTGTATTCCAATTGCTTGCATTTGCGTCTTTTTTTTGGTTCGTCTTTTTCTTTTCTTTTCTTGCATTCTTGGAACCTTCCGTTTTTCGGAAATATGCGAAGCCTAGTTGTTCTTTTTTTTTTGTGAATTTAAAATACACAAAAGACAAGCCAAACAAAAATTGGCTAGCCGCAGCAAGCGTCGGCGACGGCGCCTCACTAACGACAGCATTAGAAGCTACAGCTTTTACAACAAAATTTATTGTGCCGTCGGTTTTTCGGAAATGATACAAAGAAAAATTGTAAGTGTAACGCAAATTGTACCCAGCAGGCTTAAACATTGTGACGGCCCTCACATCTCCATAAGCATGTGCATTTACAAAAACAATTGTGGTCCATGTGCATAGGCGTGAGCACACCTGATTTTTAACAGTGATGAGTTTCAAAAGCCAAACCAATCATGGCGACGGCGGCGGCGTCGGCGCCGCTGTTCTTGTATTCCAATTGTTTGCATTTGCGTCTTTTTTTTGGTTCGTCTTTTTCTTTTCTTTTCTTGCATTCTTGGAACCTTCCGTTTTTCGGAAATATTCGAAGCCTAGTTGTTCTTTTTTTTTTGTGAATTTAAAATACACAAAAGACAAGCCAAACAAAAATTGGCTGGCCGCAGCAAGCGTCGGCGACGGCACCTCACTTTTTTTCTTCTTTTTGTCGGCATTTGCTTTGCCGTTTGGTGGTTAGTCTGCTCTCCGCCGCCTTGGTCGAACATACTGTTCCAGTTCAGTCAGCTCTGTGCGGTCGGTTTTTCTTAAATAAACGCGGCGTAATTGAACAATTATTTTTTTGTGTACATTGTGAAATAATTAAATAAAATAATCTCAAAGAATTTAAATATTTATAAATATTTATAAAAAGTGCAGCAACGACATCAGAAACAAAAGCTCTTATCAGTTTTACGGAATTATGCGCGGCGTAGTTGAATCATTTAATTTTATAAATAGTAAAACAGTTAAAAAAAAATTAATAAAAATATGATCAAAAAACAAGTGAAACACAACAAAAAAATAAGAAAAATATCAATGTATGTCGGCTAGCGCTAATTAAACAAAATGCAAGCAAAGACCTACATTAGAAACAAAAGTTTTCATCAACAAAATTTATTTGTGAGTACATGTAACTTTTCTTTTCTTTCATTCTTGGAATTTTCAGTTTTTCGGAAATATGCGAAGCGTAGTTGAGCATTTTTTTATTTGTGAATTGTAAAATACTTAAAAGACAAGTCAAAAAATTAAATAAACGCGGCGTAGTTGAACAATTATTTTTTTTGTGTACATTGTGAAATAATGTAACTTTAACAGGAAAATTAAAAAAAATCGGCAAACCAAACCAAGAATTTTTGGCGTCGCCTAAGTTTTCTTTTCTTGTGTACTATTTGTCTGTATCGCATTTCCTTTTGGTTTGTCTGTTCTCCGCCGCTATGACCAAAATCACTATTCCTTGCAGTCCACTTTGGTGGCTCAGTTTTTCGGAAATACGACCGGCTTTGTTGAACAAATATTTTTTTATATGTAAATTGTGAAATAGTCAAATAAAAATATAAAGAGTGGGAACAGGCACTTACACCACTGATTGCTCATAGTGACCGAGATATCATGGTAAAACTTCTGCAAATTTAAGTAATAAACAATTTAAATACAAAAAAAGTATTATTACTGATTTTAATTTTTTTTTTTTGCAATTAATATGTTTTTTAATTTTAGGTTGTATACATGTTTCAATAAATAAAATATATTTCTGTGTTCTGAGATTATATTATATATTTGTTAATCGTTGGCTTATGTGTCATACACTGTTTTCCGATGTGTATTTAATTTTGCTTTTCTCTATCTCTTTTAGGAATCCGCCCCCTGTTTAAATCCGCCATTTTGAAATATTTCTGCAAGAGTAATCATCTCCGCTTGGTAAGTCATTAAAAAAGAGACCGATATACTAACATTATACTCAAAGAAACTGAAAGCACCGCGCAAAATAAATGTGTTACAAGAGAAAAATGAAAAAAATATAATATTAATGTATAAAAAAATTGTTTTGCAATTATAATATTAATTTTTATTGAAAGATAAATCATTTTTTCATTGCCAAAATTTAGATGGCTATATGTCTGAGTTAAAGTTTTATGTTCTGGTAATGGAAAATTTTAGCATTTTGTTCTATTTCCGCATGAATTGGAAACCGGAGACAAATACTCAACACAAAATAAAATGTGTCACAAGTGCAGAATTAAATCAATTATTACAATAATATAACAAAATCTATTCTGAGAAATTTTAACACATTAGCCAATTACAATGCTTGTTACACATTCTTTTTCGCTGTGTGTTCAGTTTTGCTTGCTTTTAATGGCTCCATCCCCTTGTATCAGTCCACCATTTTAAACACATCTGTGAGAGTAATAAATTGCGCTTGGTATGCATGCTAGAAAGAGACAACTCTATGCGACCGTGTTGGTAATATACGCTTTCCTAAGGCAATGACATTCACATAGAAATCTCTTTCTCGAATGCATAGCGATTGGAACAGATTACACCAGCTAAAATAAGAAACACTTGAGAAAAATTTTACGGTATATAATTAAAATACAAAAACAAATAATAAAATTTTACGGTTTATAATTAAAATACAAAAACAAATAATACTGCAAAATTTAATTTATTATTTAAGTACAATTAATATATTTGATTTAATTTCGAGGTTAAAAACGTTCTTAAACAAAAAATATACATTTCTTTGTTCTGATATATTTCCGCCGCGTGTTTAATTTTGCTTTTCTTTTTCTCTGCCATTTTGAAACATTACTGCTGTATTAATTGGCGCCGCTTGTTAAGTGTGCGCAAGAATAAGACTAAAACACTTCCTAATGGCGTAGGAAGCCCTTACATATTTATTCAATTTATTTGTGAGTAACTATAATTTTTTTTCTTGCATTCTTGGAATCATCAGTTTTTCGGAAGTATGCGAAGCGTAGTTGAGCATTTTTTTTGTGTATTGTGAAATCGTCAAAAGACAAGTCAAAAAATAAATCGGCTAGCCGCAGCAAAGCGTCGGCGACGGCGCCTCACTTTTTTTTTCTTCTTTTTGTCGGCATTTGCTTTGCCGTTTGGTGGTTAGTCTGCTCTCCGCCGCCTTGGTCGAACATACTGTTCCAGTTCAGTCAGCTCTGTGCGGTCGGTTTTTCTTAAATAAACGCGGCGTAATTGAACAATTATTTTTTTGTGTACATTGTGAAATAATTAAATAAAATAATCTCAAAGAATTTAAATATTTATAAATATTTATAAAAAGTGCAGCAACGACATCAGAAACAAAAGCTCTTATCAGTTTTACGGAATTATGCGCGGCGTAGTTGAATCATTTTTTTTTATAAATAGTAAAACAGTAAAAAAAAATTAATAAAAATATGATCAAAAAACAAGTGAAACACAACAAAAAAATAAGAAAAATATCAATGTATGTCGGCTAGCGCTAATTAAACAAAATGCAAGCAAAGACCTACATTAGAAACAAAAGTTTTCATCAACAAAATTTATTTGTGAGTACATGTAACTTTTCTTTTCTTTCATTCTTGGAATTTGAGTTTTTCGGAAATATGCGAAGCGTAGTTGAGCATTTTTTTATTTGTGAATTGTAAAATACTTAAAAGACAAGTCAAAAAATTAAATAAACGCGGCGTAGTTGAACAATTATTTTTTTTGTGTACATTGTGAAATAATGTAACTTTAACAGGAAAATTAAAAAAAATCAGCAAACCAAACCAAGAATTTTTGGCGTCGCCTAAGTTTTCTTTTCTTGTGTACTATTTGTCTGTATCGCATTTCGTTTTGGTTTGTCTGTTCTCCGCCGCTATGACTAAAATCACTATTCCTTGCAGTCCACTTTGGTGGCTCAGTTTTTCGGAAATACGACCGGCTTTGTTGAACAAATATTTTTTTATATGTAAATTGTGAAATAGTCAAAAAAAAAATTATAAAGAGTGGGAACAGGCACTTACACCACTGATTGCTCATAGTGACCGAGATATCATGGTAAAACTTCTGCAAATTTAAGTAATAAACAATTTAAATACAAAAAAGTATTATTACTGATTTTAATTTTTTTTTTTTTGCAATTAATATATGTTTTTTAATTTTAGGTTGTATACATGTTTCAATAAATAAAATATATTTCTGTGTTCTGAGATTATATTATATATTTGTTAATCGTTGGCTTATGTGTCATACACTGTTTTCCGATGTGTATTTAATTTTGCTTTTCTCTATCTCTTTTAGGAATCCGCCCCCTGTTTAAATCCGCCATTTTGAAATATTTCTGCAAGAGTAATCATCTCCGCTTGGTAAGTCATTAAAAAAGAGACCGATATACTAACATTATACTCAAAGAAACTGAAAGCACCGCGCAAAATAAATGTGTTACAAGAGAAAAATGAAAAAAATATAATATTAATGTATAAAAAAATTGTTTTGCAATTATAATATTAATTTTTATTGAAAGATAAATCATTTTTTCATTGCCAAAATTTAGATGGCTATATGTCTGAGTTAAAGTTTTATGTTCTGGTAATGGAAAATTTTAGCATTTTGTTCTATTTCCGCATGAATTGGAAACCGGAGACAAATACTCAACACAAAATAAAATGTGTCACAAGTGCAGAATTAAATCAATTATTACAATAATATAACAAAATCTATTCTGAGAAATTTTAACACATTAGCCAATTACAATGCTTGTTACACATTCTTTTTCGCTGTGTGTTCAGTTTTGCTTGCTTTTAATGGCTCCATCCCCTTGTATCAGTCCACCATTTTAAACACATCTGTGAGAGTAATAAATTGCGCTTGGTATGCATGCTAGAAAGAGACAACTCTATGCGACCGTGTTGGTAATATACGCTTTCCTAAGGCAATGACATTCACATAGAAATCTCTTTCTCGAATGCATAGCGATTGGAACAGATTACACCAGCTAAAATAAGAAACACTTGAGAAAAATTTTACGGTATATAATTAAAATACAAAAACAAATAATAAAATTTTACGGTTTATAATTAAAATACAAAAACAAATAATACTGCAAAATTTAATTTATTATTTAAGTACAATTAATATATTTGATTTAATTTCGAGGTTAAAAACGTTCTTAAACAAAAAATATACATTTCTTTGTTCTGATATATTTCCGCCGCGTGTTTAATTTTGCTTTTCTTTTTCTCTGCCATTTTGAAACATTACTGCTGTATTAATTGGCGCCGCTTGTTAAGTGTGCGCAAGAATAAGACTAAAACACTTCCTAATGGCGTAGGAAGCCCTTACATATTTATTCAATTTATTTGTGAGTAACTATAATTTTTTTTCTTGCATTCTTGGAATCATCAGTTTTTCGGAAGTATGCGAAGCGTAGTTGAGCATTTTTTTTGTGTATTGTGAAATCGTCAAAAGACAAGTCAAAAAATAAATCGGCTAGCCGCAGCAAAGCGTCGGCGACGGCGCCTCACTTTTTTTTTCTTCTTTTTGTCGGCATTTGCTTTGCCGTTTGGTGGTTAGTCTGCTCTCCGCCGCCTTGGTCGAACATACTGTTCCAGTTCAGTCAGCTCTGTGCGGTCGGTTTTTCTTAAATAAACGCGGCGTAATTGAACAATTATTTTTTTGTGTACATTGTGAAATAATTAAATAAAATAATCTCAAAGAATTTAAATATTTATAAATATTTATAAAAAGTGCAGCAACGACATCAGAAACAAAAGCTCTTATCAGTTTTACGGAATTATGCGCGGCGTAGTTGAATCATTTTTTTTTATAAATAGTAAAACAGTAAAAAAAAATTAATAAAAATATGATCAAAAAACAAGTGAAACACAACAAAAAAATAAGAAAAATATCAATGTATGTCGGCTAGCGCTAATTAAACAAAATGCAAGCAAAGACCTACATTAGAAACAAAAGTTTTCATCAACAAAATTTATTTGTGAGTACATGTAACTTTTCTTTTCTTTCATTCTTGGAATTTGAGTTTTTCGGAAATATGCGAAGCGTAGTTGAGCATTTTTTTATTTGTGAATTGTAAAATACTTAAAAGACAAGTCAAAAAATTAAATAAACGCGGCGTAGTTGAACAATTATTTTTTTGTGTACATTGTGAAATAATGTAACTTTAACAGGAAAATTAAAAAAAATCAGCAAACCAAACCAAGAATTTTTGGCGTCGCCTAAGTTTTCTTTTCTTGTGTACTATTTGTCTGTATCGCATTTCGTTTTGGTTTGTCTGTTCTCCGCCGCTATGACTAAAATCACTATTCCTTGCAGTCCACTTTGGTGGCTCAGTTTTTCGGAAATACGACCGGCTTTGTTGAACAAATATTTTTTTATATGTAAATTGTGAAATAGTCAAAAAAAAAATTATAAAGAGTGGGAACAGGCACTTACACCACTGATTGCTCATAGTGACCGAGATATCATGGTAAAACTTCTGCAAATTTAAGTAATAAACAATTTAAATACAAAAAAGTATTATTACTGATTTTAATTTTTTTTTTTTGCAATTAATATATGTTTTTTAATTTTAGGTTGTATACATGTTTCAATAAATAAAATATATTTCTGTGTTCTGAGATTATATTATATATTTGTTAATCGTTGGCTTATGTGTCATACACTGTTTTCCGATGTGTATTTAATTTTGCTTTTCTCTATCTCTTTTAGGAATCCGCCCCCTGTTTAAATCCGCCATTTTGAAATATTTCTGCAAGAGTAATCATCTCCGCTTGGTAAGTCATTAAAAAAGAGACCGATATACTAACATTATACTCAAAGAAACTGAAAGCACCGCGCAAAATAAATGTGTTACAAGAGAAAAATGAAAAAAATATAATATTAATGTATAAAAAAATTGTTTTGCAATTATAATATTAATTTTTATTGAAAGATAAATCATTTTTTCATTGCCAAAATTTAGATGGCTATATGTCTGAGTTAAAGTTTTATGTTCTGGTAATGGAAAATTTTAGCATTTTGTTCTATTTCCGCATGAATTGGAAACCGGAGACAAATACTCAACACAAAATAAAATGTGTCACAAGTGCAGAATTAAATCAATTATTACAATAATATAACAAAATCTATTCTGAGAAATTTTAACACATTAGCCAATTACAATGCTTGTTACACATTCTTTTTCGCTGTGTGTTCAGTTTTGCTTGCTTTTAATGGCTCCATCCCCTTGTATCAGTCCACCATTTTAAACACATCTGTGAGAGTAATAAATTGCGCTTGGTATGCATGCTAGAAAGAGACAACTCTATGCGACCGTGTTGGTAATATACGCTTTCCTAAGGCAATGACATTCACATAGAAATCTCTTTCTCGAATGCATAGCGATTGGAACAGATTACACCAGCTAAAATAAGAAACACTTGAGAAAAATTTTACGGTATATAATTAAAATACAAAAACAAATAATAAAATTTTACGGTTTATAATTAAAATACAAAAACAAATAATACTGCAAAATTTAATTTATTATTTAAGTACAATTAATATATTTGATTTAATTTCGAGGTTAAAAACGTTCTTAAACAAAAAATATACATTTCTTTGTTCTGATATATTTCCGCCGCGTGTTTAATTTTGCTTTTCTTTTTCTCTGCCATTTTGAAACATTACTGCTGTATTAATTGGCGCCGCTTGTTAAGTGTGCGCAAGAATAAGACTAAAACACTTCCTAATGGCGTAGGAAGCCCTTACATATTTATTCAATTTATTTGTGAGTAACTATAATTTTTTTTCTTGCATTCTTGGAATCATCAGTTTTTCGGAAGTATGCGAAGCGTAGTTGAGCATTTTTTTGTGTATTGTGAAATCGTCAAAAGACAAGTCAAAAAATAAATCGGCTAGCCGCAGCAAAGCGTCGGCGACGGCGCCTCACTTTTTTTTTTCTTTTTGTCGGCATTTGCTTTGCCGTTTGGTGGTTAGTCTGCTCTCCGCCGCCTTGGTCGAACATACTGTTCCAGTTCAGTCAGCTCTGTGCGGTCGGTTTTTCTTAAATAAACGCGGCGTAATTGAACAATTATTTTTTTGTGTACATTGTGAAATAATTAAATAAAATAATCTCAAAGAATTTAAATATTTATAAATATTTATAAAAAGTGCAGCAACGACATCAGAAACAAAAGCTCTTATCAGTTTTACGGAATTATGCGCGGCGTAGTTGAATCATTTTTTTTTATAAATAGTAAAACAGTAAAAAAAAATTAATAAAAATATGATCAAAAAACAAGTGAAACACAACAAAAAAATAAGAAAAATATCAATGTATGTCGGCTAGCGCTAATTAAACAAAATGCAAGCAAAGACCTACATTAGAAACAAAAGTTTTCATCAACAAAATTTATTTGTGAGTACATGTAACTTTTCTTTTCTTTCATTCTTGGAATTTGAGTTTTTCGGAAATATGCGAAGCGTAGTTGAGCATTTTTTTATTTGTGAATTGTAAAATACTTAAAAGACAAGTCAAAAAATTAAATAAACGCGGCGTAGTTGAACAATTATTTTTTTTGTGTACATTGTGAAATAATGTAACTTTAACAGGAAAATTAAAAAAAATCAGCAAACCAAACCAAGAATTTTTGGCGTCGCCTAAGTTTTCTTTTCTTGTGTACTATTTGTCTGTATCGCATTTCGTTTTGGTTTGTCTGTTCTCCGCCGCTATGACTAAAATCACTATTCCTTGCAGTCCACTTTGGTGGCTCAGTTTTTCGGAAATACGACCGGCTTTGTTGAACAAATATTTTTTTATATGTAAATTGTGAAATAGTCAAAAAAAAAATTATAAAGAGTGGGAACAGGCACTTACACCACTGATTGCTCATAGTGACCGAGATATCATGGTAAAACTTCTGCAAATTTAAGTAATAAACAATTTAAATACAAAAAAAGTATTATTACTGATTTTAATTTTTTTTTTTTTGCAATTAATATATGTTTTTTAATTTTAGGTTGTATACATGTTTCAATAAATAAAATATATTTCTGTGTTCTGAGATTATATTATATATTTGTTAATCGTTGGCTTATGTGTCATACACTGTTTTCCGATGTGTATTTAATTTTGCTTTTCTCTATCTCTTTTAGGAATCCGCCCCCTGTTTAAATCCGCCATTTTGAAATATTTCTGCAAGAGTAATCATCTCCGCTTGGTAAGTCATTAAAAAAGAGACCGATATACTAACATTATACTCAAAGAAACTGAAAGCACCGCGCAAAATAAATGTGTTACAAGAGAAAAATGAAAAAAATATAATATTAATGTATAAAAAAATTGTTTTGCAATTATAATATTAATTTTTATTGAAAGATAAATCATTTTTTCATTGCCAAAATTTAGATGGCTATATGTCTGAGTTAAAGTTTTATGTTCTGGTAATGGAAAATTTTAGCATTTTGTTCTATTTCCGCATGAATTGGAAACCGGAGACAAATACTCAACACAAAATAAAATGTGTCACAAGTGCAGAATTAAATCAATTATTACAATAATATAACAAAATCTATTCTGAGAAATTTTAACACATTAGCCAATTACAATGCTTGTTACACATTCTTTTTCGCTGTGTGTTCAGTTTTGCTTGCTTTTAATGGCTCCATCCCCTTGTATCAGTCCACCATTTTAAACACATCTGTGAGAGTAATAAATTGCGCTTGGTATGCATGCTAGAAAGAGACAACTCTATGCGACCGTGTTGGTAATATACGCTTTCCTAAGGCAATGACATTCACATAGAAATCTCTTTCTCGAATGCATAGCGATTGGAACAGATTACACCAGCTAAAATAAGAAACACTTGAGAAAAATTTTACGGTATATAATTAAAATACAAAAACAAATAATAAAATTTTACGGTTTATAATTAAAATACAAAAACAAATAATACTGCAAAATTTAATTTATTATTTAAGTACAATTAATATATTTGATTTAATTTCGAGGTTAAAAACGTTCTTAAACAAAAAATATACATTTCTTTGTTCTGATATATTTCCGCCGCGTGTTTAATTTTGCTTTTCTTTTTCTCTGCCATTTTGAAACATTACTGCTGTATTAATTGGCGCCGCTTGTTAAGTGTGCGCAAGAATAAGACTAAAACACTTCCTAATGGCGTAGGAAGCCCTTACATATTTATTCAATTTATTTGTGAGTAACTATAATTTTTTTTTCTTGCATTCTTGGAATCATCAGTTTTTCGGAAGTATGCGAAGCGTAGTTGAGCATTTTTTTTGTGTATTGTGAAATCGTCAAAAGACAAGTCAAAAAATAAATCGGCTAGCCGCAGCAAAGCGTCGGCGACGGCGCCTCACTTTTTTTTTCTTCTTTTGTCGGCATTTGCTTTGCCGTTTGGTGGTTAGTCTGCTCTCCGCCGCCTTGGTCGAACATACTGTTCCAGTTCAGTCAGCTCTGTGCGGTCGGTTTTTCTTAAATAAACGCGGCGTAATTGAACAATTATTTTTTTGTGTACATTGTGAAATAATTAAATAAAATAATCTCAAAGAATTTAAATATTTATAAATATTTATAAAAAGTGCAGCAACGACATCAGAAACAAAAGCTCTTATCAGTTTTACGGAATTATGCGCGGCGTAGTTGAATCATTTTTTTTATAAATAGTAAAACAGTAAAAAAAAATTAATAAAAATATGATCAAAAAACAAGTGAAACACAACAAAAAAATAAGAAAAATATCAATGTATGTCGGCTAGCGCTAATTAAACAAAATGCAAGCAAAGACCTACATTAGAAACAAAAGTTTTCATCAACAAAATTTATTTGTGAGTACATGTAACTTTTCTTTTCTTTCATTCTTGGAATTTGAGTTTTTCGGAAATATGCGAAGCGTAGTTGAGCATTTTTTTATTTGTGAATTGTAAAATACTTAAAAGACAAGTCAAAAAATTAAATAAACGCGGCGTAGTTGAACAATTATTTTTTTTGTGTACATTGTGAAATAATGTAACTTTAACAGGAAAATTAAAAAAAATCAGCAAACCAAACCAAGAATTTTTGGCGTCGCCTAAGTTTTCTTTTCTTGTGTACTATTTGTCTGTATCGCATTTCGTTTTGGTTTGTCTGTTCTCCGCCGCTATGACTAAAATCACTATTCCTTGCAGTCCACTTTGGTGGCTCAGTTTTTCGGAAATACGACCGGCTTTGTTGAACAAATATTTTTTTATATGTAAATTGTGAAATAGTCAAAAAAAAATTATAAAGAGTGGGAACAGGCACTTACACCACTGATTGCTCATAGTGACCGAGATATCATGGTAAAACTTCTGCAAATTTAAGTAATAAACAATTTAAATACAAAAAAAGTATTATTACTGATTTTAATTTTTTTTTTTTTGCAATTAATATATGTTTTTTAATTTTAGGTTGTATACATGTTTCAATAAATAAAATATATTTCTGTGTTCTGAGATTATATTATATATTTGTTAATCGTTGGCTTATGTGTCATACACTGTTTTCCGATGTGTATTTAATTTTGCTTTTCTCTATCTCTTTTAGGAATCCGCCCCCTGTTTAAATCCGCCATTTTGAAATATTTCTGCAAGAGTAATCATCTCCGCTTGGTAAGTCATTAAAAAAGAGACCGATATACTAACATTATACTCAAAGAAACTGAAAGCACCGCGCAAAATAAATGTGTTACAAGAGAAAAATGAAAAAAATATAATATTAATGTATAAAAAAATTGTTTTGCAATTATAATATTAATTTTTATTGAAAGATAAATCATTTTTTCATTGCCAAAATTTAGATGGCTATATGTCTGAGTTAAAGTTTTATGTTCTGGTAATGGAAAATTTTAGCATTTTGTTCTATTTCCGCATGAATTGGAAACCGGAGACAAATACTCAACACAAAATAAAATGTGTCACAAGTGCAGAATTAAATCAATTATTACAATAATATAACAAAATCTATTCTGAGAAATTTTAACACATTAGCCAATTACAATGCTTGTTACACATTCTTTTTCGCTGTGTGTTCAGTTTTGCTTGCTTTTAATGGCTCCATCCCCTTGTATCAGTCCACCATTTTAAACACATCTGTGAGAGTAATAAATTGCGCTTGGTATGCATGCTAGAAAGAGACAACTCTATGCGACCGTGTTGGTAATATACGCTTTCCTAAGGCAATGACATTCACATAGAAATCTCTTTCTCGAATGCATAGCGATTGGAACAGATTACACCAGCTAAAATAAGAAACACTTGAGAAAAATTTTACGGTATATAATTAAAATACAAAAACAAATAATAAAATTTTACGGTTTATAATTAAAATACAAAAACAAATAATACTGCAAAATTTAATTTATTATTTAAGTACAATTAATATATTTGATTTAATTTCGAGGTTAAAAACGTTCTTAAACAAAAAATATACATTTCTTTGTTCTGATATATTTCCGCCGCGTGTTTAATTTTGCTTTTCTTTTTCTCTGCCATTTTGAAACATTACTGCTGTATTAATTGGCGCCGCTTGTTAAGTGTGCGCAAGAATAAGACTAAAACACTTCCTAATGGCGTAGGAAGCCCTTACATATTTATTCAATTTATTTGTGAGTAACTATAATTTTTTTTCTTGCATTCTTGGAATCATCAGTTTTTCGGAAGTATGCGAAGCGTAGTTGAGCATTTTTTTGTGTATTGTGAAATCGTCAAAAGACAAGTCAAAAAAATAAATCGGCTAGCCGCAGCAAAGCGTCGGCGACGGCGCCTCACTTTTTTTTCTTCTTTTTGTCGGCATTTGCTTTGCCGTTTGGTGGTTAGTCTGCTCTCCGCCGCCTTGGTCGAACATACTGTTCCAGTTCAGTCAGCTCTGTGCGGTCGGTTTTTCTTAAATAAACGCGGCGTAATTGAACAATTATTTTTTTGTGTACATTGTGAAATAATTAAATAAAATAATCTCAAAGAATTTAAATATTTATAAATATTTATAAAAAGTGCAGCAACGACATCAGAAACAAAAGCTCTTATCAGTTTTACGGAATTATGCGCGGCGTAGTTGAATCATTTTTTTTATAAATAGTAAAACAGTAAAAAAAAATTAATAAAAATATGATCAAAAAACAAGTGAAACACAACAAAAAAAATAAGAAAAATATCAATGTATGTCGGCTAGCGCTAATTAAACAAAATGCAAGCAAAGACCTACATTAGAAACAAAAGTTTTCATCAACAAAATTTATTTGTGAGTACATGTAACTTTTCTTTTCTTTCATTCTTGGAATTTGAGTTTTTCGGAAATATGCGAAGCGTAGTTGAGCATTTTTTTATTTGTGAATTGTAAAATACTTAAAAGACAAGTCAAAAAATTAAATAAACGCGGCGTAGTTGAACAATTATTTTTTTTGTGTACATTGTGAAATAATGTAACTTTAACAGGAAAATTAAAAAAATCAGCAAACCAAACCAAGAATTTTTGGCGTCGCCTAAGTTTTCTTTTCTTGTGTACTATTTGTCTGTATCGCATTTCGTTTTGGTTTGTCTGTTCTCCGCCGCTATGACTAAAATCACTATTCCTTGCAGTCCACTTTGGTGGCTCAGTTTTTCGGAAATACGACCGGCTTTGTTGAACAAATATTTTTTTATATGTAAATTGTGAAATAGTCAAAAAAAAAATTATAAAGAGTGGGAACAGGCACTTACACCACTGATTGCTCATAGTGACCGAGATATCATGGTAAAACTTCTGCAAATTTAAGTAATAAACAATTTAAATACAAAAAAGTATTATTACTGATTTTAATTTTTTTTTTTTTTGCAATTAATATATGTTTTTTAATTTTAGGTTGTATACATGTTTCAATAAATAAAATATATTTCTGTGTTCTGAGATTATATTATATATTTGTTAATCGTTGGCTTATGTGTCATACACTGTTTTCCGATGTGTATTTAATTTTGCTTTTCTCTATCTCTTTTAGGAATCCGCCCCCTGTTTAAATCCGCCATTTTGAAATATTTCTGCAAGAGTAATCATCTCCGCTTGGTAAGTCATTAAAAAAGAGACCGATATACTAACATTATACTCAAAGAAACTGAAAGCACCGCGCAAAATAAATGTGTTACAAGAGAAAAATGAAAAAAATATAATATTAATGTATAAAAAAATTGTTTTGCAATTATAATATTAATTTTTATTGAAAGATAAATCATTTTTTCATTGCCAAAATTTAGATGGCTATATGTCTGAGTTAAAGTTTTATGTTCTGGTAATGGAAAATTTTAGCATTTTGTTCTATTTCCGCATGAATTGGAAACCGGAGACAAATACTCAACACAAAATAAAATGTGTCACAAGTGCAGAATTAAATCAATTATTACAATAATATAACAAAATCTATTCTGAGAAATTTTAACACATTAGCCAATTACAATGCTTGTTACACATTCTTTTTCGCTGTGTGTTCAGTTTTGCTTGCTTTTAATGGCTCCATCCCCTTGTATCAGTCCACCATTTTAAACACATCTGTGAGAGTAATAAATTGCGCTTGGTATGCATGCTAGAAAGAGACAACTCTATGCGACCGTGTTGGTAATATACGCTTTCCTAAGGCAATGACATTCACATAGAAATCTCTTTCTCGAATGCATAGCGATTGGAACAGATTACACCAGCTAAAATAAGAAACACTTGAGAAAAATTTTACGGTATATAATTAAAATACAAAAACAAATAATAAAATTTTACGGTTTATAATTAAAATACAAAAACAAATAATACTGCAAAATTTAATTTATTATTTAAGTACAATTAATATATTTGATTTAATTTCGAGGTTAAAAACGTTCTTAAACAAAAAATATACATTTCTTTGTTCTGATATATTTCCGCCGCGTGTTTAATTTTGCTTTTCTTTTTCTCTGCCATTTGAAACATTACTGCTGTATTAATTGGCGCCGCTTGTTAAGTGTGCGCAAGAATAAGACTAAAACACTTCCTAATGGCGTAGGAAGCCCTTACATATTTATTCAATTTATTTGTGAGTAACTATAATTTTTTTCTTGCATTCTTGGAATCATCAGTTTTTTCGGAAGTATGCGAAGCGTAGTTGAGCATTTTTTTGTGTATTGTGAAATCGTCAAAAAGACAAGTCAAAAAATAAATCGGCTAGCCGCAGCAAAGCGTCGGCGACGGCGCCTCACTTTTTTTCTTCTTTTTGTCGGCATTTGCTTTGCCGTTTGGTGGTTAGTCTGCTCTCCGCCGCCTTGGTCGAACATACTGTTCCAGTTCAGTCAGCTCTGTGCGGTCGGTTTTCTTAAATAAACGCGGCGTAATTGAACAATTATTTTTTTGTGTACATTGTGAAATAATTAAATAAAATAATCTCAAAGAATTTAAATATTTATAAATATTTATAAAAAGTGCAGCAACGACATCAGAAACAAAAGCTCTTATCAGTTTTACGGAATTATGCGCGGCGTAGTTGAATCATTTTTTTTTATAAATAGTAAAACAGTAAAAAAAAATTAATAAAAATATGATCAAAAAACAAGTGAAACACAACAAAAAAATAAGAAAAATATCAATGTATGTCGGCTAGCGCTAATTAAACAAAATGCAAGCAAAGACCTACATTAGAAACAAAAGTTTTCATCAACAAAATTTATTTGTGAGTACATGTAACTTTTCTTTTCTTTCATTCTTGGAATTTGAGTTTTTCGGAAATATGCGAAGCGTAGTTGAGCATTTTTTTATTTGTGAATTGTAAAATACTTAAAAGACAAGTCAAAAAATTAAATAAACGCGGCGTAGTTGAACAATTATTTTTTGTGTACATTGTGAAATAATGTAACTTTAACAGGAAAATTAAAAAAAATCAGCAAACCAAACCAAGAATTTTTGGCGTCGCCTAAGTTTTCTTTTCTTGTGTACTATTTGTCTGTATCGCATTTCGTTTTGGTTTGTCTGTTCTCCGCCGCTATGACTAAAATCACTATTCCTTGCAGTCCACTTTGGTGGCTCAGTTTTTCGGAAATACGACCGGCTTTGTTGAACAAATATTTTTTATATGTAAATTGTGAAATAGTCAAAAAAAAAATTATAAAGAGTGGGAACAGGCACTTACACCACTGATTGCTCATAGTGACCGAGATATCATGGTAAAACTTCTGCAAATTTAAGTAATAAACAATTTAAATACAAAAAAGTATTATTACTGATTTTAATTTTTTTTTTTTTGCAATTAATATATGTTTTTAATTTTAGGTTGTATACATGTTTCAATAAATAAAATATATTTCTGTGTTCTGAGATTATATTATATATTTGTTAATCGTTGGCTTATGTGTCATACACTGTTTTCCGATGTGTATTTAATTTTGCTTTTCTCTATCTCTTTTAGGAATCCGCCCCCTGTTTAAATCCGCCATTTTGAAATATTTCTGCAAGAGTAATCATCTCCGCTTGGTAAGTCATTAAAAAAGAGACCGATATACTAACATTATACTCAAAGAAACTGAAAGCACCGCGCAAAATAAATGTGTTACAAGAGAAAAATGAAAAAAATATAATATTAATGTATAAAAAAATTGTTTTGCAATTATAATATTAATTTTTATTGAAAGATAAATCATTTTTTCATTGCCAAAATTTAGATGGCTATATGTCTGAGTTAAAGTTTTATGTTCTGGTAATGGAAAATTTTAGCATTTTGTTCTATTTCCGCATGAATTGGAAACCGGAGACAAATACTCAACACAAAATAAAATGTGTCACAAGTGCAGAATTAAATCAATTATTACAATAATATAACAAAATCTATTCTGAGAAATTTTAACACATTAGCCAATTACAATGCTTGTTACACATTCTTTTTCGCTGTGTGTTCAGTTTTGCTTGCTTTTAATGGCTCCATCCCCTTGTATCAGTCCACCATTTTAAACACATCTGTGAGAGTAATAAATTGCGCTTGGTATGCATGCTAGAAAGAGACAACTCTATGCGACCGTGTTGGTAATATACGCTTTCCTAAGGCAATGACATTCACATAGAAATCTCTTTCTCGAATGCATAGCGATTGGAACAGATTACACCAGCTAAAATAAGAAACACTTGAGAAAAATTTTACGGTATATAATTAAAATACAAAAACAAATAATAAAATTTTACGGTTTATAATTAAAATACAAAAACAAATAATACTGCAAAATTTAATTTATTATTTAAGTACAATTAATATATTTGATTTAATTTCGAGGTTAAAAACGTTCTTAAACAAAAAATATACATTTCTTTGTTCTGATATATTTCCGCCGCGTGTTTAATTTTGCTTTTCTTTTTTCTCTGCCATTTTGAAACATTACTGCTGTATTAATTGGCGCCGCTTGTTAAGTGTGCGCAAGAATAAGACTAAAACACTTCCTAATGGCGTAGGAAGCCCTTACATATTTATTCAATTTATTTGTGAGTAACTATAATTTTTTTCTTGCATTCTTGGAATCATCAGTTTTCGGAAGTATGCGAAGCGTAGTTGAGCATTTTTTTGTGTATTGTGAAATCGTCAAAAGACAAGTCAAAAAATAAATCGGCTAGCCGCAGCAAAGCGTCGGCGACGGCGCCTCACTTTTTTCTTCTTTTTTGTCGGCATTTGCTTTGCCGTTTGGTGGTTAGTCTGCTCTCCGCCGCCTTGGTCGAACATACTGTTCCAGTTCAGTCAGCTCTGTGCGGTCGGTTTTTCTTAAATAAACGCGGCGTAATTGAACAATTATTTTTTTGTGTACATTGTGAAATAATTAAATAAAATAATCTCAAAGAATTTAAATATTTATAAATATTTATAAAAAGTGCAGCAACGACATCAGAAACAAAAGCTCTTATCAGTTTTACGGAATTATGCGCGGCGTAGTTGAATCATTTTTTTTATAAATAGTAAAACAGTAAAAAAAATTAATAAAAATATGATCAAAAAACAAGTGAAACACAACAAAAAAATAAGAAAAATATCAATGTATGTCGGCTAGCGCTAATTAAACAAAATGCAAGCAAAGACCTACATTAGAAACAAAGTTTTCATCAACAAAATTTATTTGTGAGTACATGTAACTTTTCTTTTCTTTCATTCTTGGAATTTGAGTTTTTCGGAAATATGCGAAGCGTAGTTGAGCATTTTTTTATTTGTGAATTGTAAAATACTTAAAAGACAAGTCAAAAAAATTAAATAAACGCGGCGTAGTTGAACAATTATTTTTTTGTGTACATTGTGAAATAATGTAACTTTAACAGGAAAATTAAAAAAAATCAGCAAACCAAACCAAGAATTTTTGGCGTCGCCTAAGTTTTCTTTTCTTGTGTACTATTTGTCTGTATCGCATTTCGTTTTGGTTTGTCTGTTCTCCGCCGCTATGACTAAAATCACTATTCCTTGCAGTCCACTTTGGTGGCTCAGTTTTTCGGAAATACGACCGGCTTTGTTGAACAAATATTTTTTTATATGTAAATTGTGAAATAGTCAAAAAAAAAATTATAAAGAGTGGGAACAGGCACTTACACCACTGATTGCTCATAGTGACCGAGATATCATGGTAAAACTTCTGCAAATTTAAGTAATAAACAATTTAAATACAAAAAAGTATTATTACTGATTTTAATTTTTTTTTGCAATTAATATATGTTTTTTAATTTTAGGTTGTATACATGTTTCAATAAATAAAATATATTTCTGTGTTCTGAGATTATATTATATATTTGTTAATCGTTGGCTTATGTGTCATACACTGTTTTCCGATGTGTATTTAATTTTGCTTTTCTCTATCTCTTTTAGGAATCCGCCCCCTGCTTTAAATCCGCCATTTTGAAATATTTCTGCAAGAGTAATCATCTCCGCTTGGTAAGTCATTAAAAAGAGACCGATATACTAACATTATACTCAAAGAAACTGAAAGCACCGCGCAAAATAAATGTGTTACAAGAGAAAAATGAAAAAAAATATAATATTAATGTATAAAAAAATTGTTTTGCAATTATAATATTAATTTTTATTGAAAGATAAATCATTTTTTCATTGCCAAAATTTAGATGGCTATATGTCTGAGTTAAAGTTTTATGTTCTGGTAATGGAAAATTTTAGCATTTTGTTCTATTTCCGATGAATTGGAAACCGGAGACAAATACTCAACACAAAATAAAATGTGTCACAAGTGCAGAATTAAATCAATTATTACAATAATATAACAAAATCTATTCTGAGAAATTTTAACACATTAGCCAATTACAATGCTTGTTACACATTCTTTTTCGCTGTGTGTTCAGTTTTGCTTGCTTTTAATGGCTCCATCCCCTTGTATCAGTCCACCATTTTAAACACATCTGTGAGAGTAATAAATTGCGCTTGGTATGCATGCTAGAAAGAGACAACTCTATGCGACCGTGTTGGTAATATATACGCTTTCCTAAGGCAATGACATTCACATAGAAATCTCTTTCTCGAATGCATAGCGATTGGAACAGATTACACCAGCTAAAATAAGAAACACTTGAGAAAAATTTTACGGTATATAATTAAAATACAAAAACAAATAATAAAATTTTACGGTTTATAATTAAAATACAAAAACAAATAATACTGCAAAATTTAATTTATTATTTAAGTACAATTAATATATTTGATTTAATTTCGAGGTTAAAAAACGTTCTTAAACAAAAAAATATACATTTCTTTGTTCTGATATATTTCCGCCGCGTGTTTAATTTTGCTTTTCTTTTTCTCTGCCATTTTGAAACATTACTGCTGTATTAATTGGCGCCGCTTGTTAAGTGTGCGCAAGAATAAGACTAAAACACTTCCTAATGGCGTAGGAAGCCCTTACATATTTATTCAATTTATTTGTGAGTAACTATAATTTTTTTTCTTGCATTCTTGGAATCATCAGTTTTTCGGAAGTATGCGGAAGCGTAGTTGAGCATTTTTTTGTGTATTGTGAAATCGTCAAAAGACAAGTCAAAAAATAAATCGGCTAGCCGCAGCAAAGCGTCGGCGACGGCGCCTCACTTTTTTTTCTTCTTTTGTCGGCATTTGCTTTGCCGTTTGGTGGTTAGTCTGCTCTCCGCCGCCTTGGTCGAACATACTGTTCCAGTTCAGTCAGCTCTGTGCGGTCGGTTTTTCTTAAATAAACGCGGCGTAATTGAACAATTATTTTTTTGTGTACATTGTGAAATAATTAAATAAAATAATCTCAAAGAATTTAAATATTTATAAATATTTATAAAAAGTGCAGCAACGACATCAGAAACAAAAGCTCTTATCAGTTTTACGGAATTATGCGCGGCGTAGTTGAATCATTTTTTTTTATAAATAGTAAAACAGTAAAAAAAAATTAATAAAAATATGATCAAAAAACAAGTGAAACACAACAAAAAAATAAGAAAATATCAATGTATGTCGGCTAGCGCTAATTAAACAAAATGCAAGCAAAGACCTACATTAGAAACAAAAGTTTTCATCAACAAAATTTATTTGTGAGTACATGTAACTTTTCTTTTCTTTCATTCTTGGAATTTGAGTTTTTCGGAAATATGCGAAGCGTAGTTGAGCATTTTTTTATTTAGTGAATTGTAAAATACTTAAAAGACAAGTCAAAAAATTAAATAAACGCGGCGTAGTTGAACAATTATTTTTTTTGTGTACATTGTGAAATAATGTAACTTTAACAGGAAAATTAAAAAAATCAGCAAACCAAACCAAGAATTTTGGCGTCGCCTAAGTTTTCTTTTCTTGTGTACTATTTGTCTGTATCGCATTTCGTTTTGGTTTGTCTGTTCTCCGCCGCTATGACTAAAATCACTATTCCTTGCAGTCCACTTTGGTGGCTCAGTTTTTCGGAAATACGACCGGCTTTGTTGAACAAATATTTTTTTATATGTAAATTGTGAAATAGTCAAAAAAAAAAATTATAAAGAGTGGGAACAGGCACTTACACCACTGATTGCTCATAGTGACCGAGATATCATGGTAAAACTTCTGCAAATTTAAGTAATAAACAATTTAAATACAAAAAAGTATTATTACTGATTTTAATTTTTTTTTTTTTGCAATTAATATATGTTTTTTAATTTTAGGTTGTATACATGTTTCAATAAATAAAATATATTTCTGTGTTCTGAGATTATATTATATATTTGTTAATCGTTGGCTTATGTGTCATACACTGTTTTCCGATGTGTATTTAATTTTGCTTTTCTCTATCTCTTTTAGGAATCCGCCCCCTGTTTAAATCCGCCATTTTGAAATATTTCTGCAAGAGTAATCATCTCCGCTTGGTAAGTCATTAAAAAGAGACCGATATACTAACATTATACTCAAAAGAAACTGAAAGCACCGCGCAAAATAAATGTGTTACAAGAGAAAAATGAAAAAAAATAATATTAATGTATAAAAAAATTGTTTTGCAATTATAATATTAATTTTTATTGAAAGATAAATCATTTTTTCATTGCCAAAATTTAGATGGCTATATGTCTGAGTTAAAGTTTTATGTTCTGGTAATGGAAAATTTTAGCATTTTGTTCTATTTCCGCATGAATTGGAAACCGGAGACAAATACTCAACACAAAATAAAATGTGTCACAAGTGCAGAATTAAATCAATTATTACAATAATATAACAAAATCTATTCTGAGAAATTTTAACACATTAGCCAATTACAATGCTTGTTACACATTCTTTTTCGCTGTGTGTTCAGTTTTGCTTGCTTTTAATGGCTCCATCCCCTTGTATCAGTCCACCATTTTAAACACATCTGTGAGGTAATAAATTGCGCTTGGTATGCATGCTAGAAAGAGACAACTCTATGCGACCGTGTTGGTAATATACGCTTTCCTAAGGCAATGACATTCACATAGAAATCTCTTTCTCGAATGCATAGCGATTGGAACAGATTACACCAGCTAAAATAAGAAACACTTGAAAAAATTTTACGGTATATAATTAAAATACAAAAACAAATAATAAAATTTTACGGTTTATAATTAAAATACAAAAACAAATAATACTGCAAAATTTAATTTATTATTTAAGTACAATTAATATATTTGATTTAATTTCGAGGTTAAAAACGTTCTTAAACAAAAAATATAC